GACATAAGGAGGCGGAGCTGTGCTCTGGCAAGGTGTGATTTGGCCATAAGGAGGCGGAGCTGTGCTCTGGCAAGGTGTGATTTTGACATAAGGAGGCGGAGCTGTGCTCTGGCAAGGTGTGATTTGGACATAAGGAGGCGGAGCTGTGCTCTGGCAAGGTGTGATTTGGACATAAGGAAGCGGAACTGAGCTCTGGCAAGGTGTGATTTGGACATAAGGAAGCGGAACTGAGCTCTGGCAAGGTGTGATTTGGACATAAGGAGGCGGAGCTGCCTTCCACCAGGCTCCGTCTTTATTTAAACCCTGGATAAGAGACACCAAGACACACCCTCTTTCCTTCTTTTAACACCCATGTATTTTTCCTTGAAGAGACTCCAGTCTTTCTTGTGTAGTGTTTATCTCTAACTGGCATCCCCTCACTGGTCTTCCCCTGCCATGTACCCTATGCTGCCTGGGACAGGCTGTAAGCTAGGGGTCAGTATTAGGCAGTGGAATTCTGGGAGTACAGTCATCGCCCATCATCCCGTTTCTTACTCGGATCATCCTGTATCATTCAGGGATCATCCCGTATTGTCCTGTATCATTCTCAGCATCCTGTATCATTCAGGGATCATCCCGTATTGTCCTGTATCATTATCAGCATCCTGTATCATTCAGGGATCACCCCGTATTGTGCTGTATCATTCTCAGCATCCTGCATCATTCAGGGATCATCCTGTATTGTAAACAAAACACAAGATTTGTCCTGTATTTTTGTACACATTTTGTACAGATTTTATCTCTGATACTCCGTTGACATCATTGACAGTAGTTTGAGCTTTTGTTTACCAAAATCACCTTCTATTTCTATATGTCGGCTTGTGTTGCTAGCATGTTGGTTGCATGTGGGGCTCTCTGCTTATGTGCTCCTTCAGATCGCAGCTGACTATGGCCACGATGCTTCAGTTACATCCCTCTTGGACAGCATGGACATTTACCTGTTGATTGTGACCAACCCTGATGGCTACGTCTTCACTCACACCAACGTAGGTGCCAACTGTTGCCTCTAATACTTTGCCCCTACACCGAACTCCATAGCCCATTGCCCTCCAAAACATTCTGGCAAGAATCACCCAGGTATCTATTTTCCAGTTCCAGAACCGCATGTGGCGTAAAACCCGCTCCGTGATCCCTGGCTCTACGTGCCGTGGTGTAGACCCCAACCGCAACTGGGATGCTGGTTTTGGAGGTATCGATTTGATTCTTCTATGCCTGTGGTCCTGTCGGCAAACATCACATATAAGCAGAAGTTTGACTCATGTGCCATCAGTTGGCTGAGGTTCCTCATTATCCAAATGAGTGATCACTATAAGTCATCAACCGGAGTGTATTGGAGATCATCGGGAATAGGTTTATCGAGGATGAAATCGGATTTGATGGTACTGCAGTAAACAGGGAGTGTTCCTCGCAGGTCCTGGAGCCAGTGGAGATCCCTGCTCGGAGTCCTACCACGGCCCGCGGGCGGAGTCAGAGGTGGAGGTCCGCAACGTGGTGGAGCTCATTAAGAGCCAAGGGAACTTCAAGAGCTTCATCTCAATCCACTCCTACTCCCAGCTGCTCATGTACCCTTATGGCTATAAATGTGCTGATGCCGCGGACTCCGTTGAATTGGTACGACCCTCTTACCCCAGCTCTGTTCTGCTATTGTCCTGCCCTCCTCTGTGAGAAGTGACTCTCCTGTCTGCTCCTTTCCAGGACTCCGTGGCCCAGTCCGCGGCCCGGGCACTCAGCTCTGTGTACGGCACCAGCTACCGTGTCGGGAGCATTTGTAAGATCATATGTAAGGACCAAGCTTTCTTTGGATCTCCATAGCCTGTTTCCGACCGGGGGATCTCTGTCCTTATCTTATTTTTGAACACTTCCATGAATATTTAGACACTGAAAAAAGAAGGCATTATCCTGGCACGAATTAAGCATAAATGTACAATACTGCCAACTCAAGAGAAGGCTAATTTGGTGCTCTCAGGCCCCCCTCCCTCTCATCACACCGCAGTGACACCTACAGGGTTCCAGTGGAATTCATTGTGTGGTGCTCACCTCAAGGCATGCTATGCCTGATGTCTTTACTGTGTGTTACCACCTCCATGTTGCAGTGGCTTTATGCCTTTCCACTGCCTGTTTTGGCCATAAACATAGACCTGATTGAGAGGGCATCCCAAAAACCCACACCCACACTGGCCCTCCATGGATCAGGTTGCCCACCCCAATCCAAAGGTTCATGCTAAAAAATCATTGTCTCCTAATGTCCAGGAATGACGGTAGTGACCCACAGTTTTTCTCTGCAATTCACAGATCAAGCTAGTGGGGGCAGCATTGATTGGTCATACAACTATGGCATCAAATACTCCTTTGCTTTCGAGCTACGCGACACGGGCCGCTACGGCTTTCTGCTGCCGGCCAATCAGATCGTCCCCACAGCCACAGAAACTTGGCAGGCTCTGAAGCATATCATGGAGTATGTTCGCACCCACTCTTTCTGAGGATCTGAGCCGGGCTGTCCAGAATCACCAACCTTCAGATCCTGCTCCTCTTTCCTGTCTCATGTCGACTGTCTTACATCAACCAGAAATGGACTGATGTAAAAGACCTGAAAGGGAATGTAACATTTCTGAAGGTTACCATTACAGGTCATATAATAAAGCAAATAAAAACCAGGCAGTGACTTGTCTTTCATGGAAAGATGTATCTATTTCCCCTAGGAACACAGTTCAAGGTCTTGAACTATAAGGACAGTCTTTCACATGACTGGGTATTTCATATGAGAGAAGCATAACATCTGAATCAACGCAGGCCTATACAGCTCTGGAAAAAATTAAGAGACCACTCTATATTTAAAAAAAAAACTACATTTTAAATCCTTGTTTTATCCTGATACTGTGAGGCAGGCTGCTTACAGGCTAATGTTTCTAAGACGGTGGTACCAAGATCAAGGTGAAGCAGGAGACGCTGGCAATAACCAAAATCCAGCCAGGTAGAGGGCAGAAGCAGCTTCCTAATGCCAGAGATGACGTTCTTCTTATCCGGCAGTGACTCATAAATCGGAGAATGACCTCAAGTGACCTTGAAAAAGAATGGGAAACATTAAGTGGTGTGAAGTGCATTGCTAAGACTGGTTCGTATCAGGCTTCTAGAAGCAGGACCCATAAAGCAAGGAAGAAGCCCTTCAACAGTGAGAAGCCAGGCTGGAGTTTGCAAAAAAAGATGTATGTTTTACACAGGCACATACCCATAAATTGAGAAATGAGTGAAACTGAAAGTTTTGCTTTGGTCTCTTAATTTTTTGCAGATTTGTACTGTGTTTGGACTACTGTCCACTAAGTAACATCAACAATAATAACAGTGCCCTTCCTGTAAGACATAAACAGTATTTGAAGTTTGTTTTTCTTTTTTTTTTTTTGAAAACCTCAAATCTCAAGTGTCGGAAAGCGTTATTTGGCAATTCTAGTGCAGCTTCTCCATGAATATTTCCCAAAGCTGTATGAGTTGCACATCAAAGAGCTCAAAGCTCAAAGGACGGCCCCGGAATGTTCCGTCTGTGTCTTGTTACACCTGTGTAGGACCCCCACTGCCCAGTCACATCCATTCAGTTCCTAAGGCATAAAACTGGCAATGTTCTCTCCCCGGGGCTGTGCTGTTAAAGTGAATTTACATTTTACACACCCTCAAGAAGGCTTGAGGCCTGGAGGCCAAAGCCGAGTTCAGGCTGGCTGTACTATCACGCTTCTGAATGGATGGACTTGTGGCTGTAGCAGGGTCAGCTGAATTCTGTCCACAGAACAGGTGACTCTACGTCTCTGAGTCTCTGTTAAATGTTCGTTTTGCCATCATGTGAGAGCTACAACCTGGGGGGGGGGGGGCTGACCTGAATGGCAATGCTTAGGAATATTGTTCATGACGATGGGCATGTGGGGGAAGGATTGATGAGCTGTCTGGCGTAGGGTGAGTGTAGGCAGCTAATGACATCACTTCCTCTTTTTTTGCGCCCAGTCTCATAGGTGGGAAAGAGGAATCGGGCTCTTTTATTAACTTGCTTTCACTTAGGATTACTGGCACACAGTGTCAACCTTGCGCTGGTTCCCTTGTCCGAAATGGCTGCTACACCTCAGACTTCAGGTAAAGCCTCTCCGTACTCATTTTTCTCATCACAGGTGCCTGGCCCGGCCTGATAGATAACGCTGCACTCTCGGATATCATCGGGCTGTTAAATTCTTTTGGTCGTATTTCCAGATAGCGTAGCCAGCACCACAAGGGACGAGATGAACGTTGTATATTGACTTTGATTTTGAGATGATGAAATAATGACTGACCGATAAGCACATAGATTCCCCACACTCTTATTAAATGGCTTCTTCAAAGCATAAACATGTTGTTAAACGGGCAAAATATTTCACTCTGCTTGTTGCATAGTACACTTGACTTTTAGGGTAATTTTCCAGATTTATGTGAAAAGAGAAGCATTGCACTGAGTCTCCTCCGCATCTGAATGATCCTTTTCACTATAGAATCGACATTAGTTTCTTTGCAATGGTCTTCTAACGCTTCCCACACGAGTGGTTTCTCTGAAGTCATAGCAGAGGTCTTTTCTTCTTGGCATGGTGTTAACACAACCCTGAACCCATCAGAGCACCAAACTGCCAGAAATGGCCACCATGCTTCCTGGTGATCAGCCAATCGAATGCGCCTGATTAGCATCCCTAATTGGCTTCTTACTTCCTCTTAAAGCTGCAATGGTGCCCTAACTTTACATTAGTCTTTGGTTTTTAGTTTTATGTTTTTCTGCTTTTTAGTCTTTTTAGTCCTTTGTGACTGTTTTGTCTGTGAAAGGCGTTTAGTAAATAAACTTTACTTACTTAATAACTTCTTTCCCACCTGGCATTTTGGCTTAAATTTTCCAGAATTTTGTTACGCGTTGTCTGTTGGCTGAAGCCGGCTTTGTCTATTTCTGGAAGCTGATGAGCACCAGACAATTCTCATTTGCTCCCTGAAGAAATCCGTACTTTCATTTCCACTTATTCCTGTATTACACACTGTATTACATTTGTTTCCATATTTCTGCATTGTGGCATTGATGTCAATCAGGCATTCTTGGCCTATCAGGTAAGTGGTGGCTAATAGCCAGTGTCTACTGGTTACTCATCTGAATTATATTGCATACTAATACCATATTTACATATATCTGTAACTGGGTTAATTGTTATTCCAAAGCGTGGTTTATTTTCACGGCTTACATATAATTCCTCCCTTGTTTTTCAAAAGAGCCTTCCCCGTGTCATTGATGAATTTGGGTTCCTTTATTAAAAGACTGAGGTAGCCTGTGGCTCATTATCTCAGTATCCCGTAACTGAAAATATTGGCCCATTTTCTTCTGGGTTGGTTGCAAATGAATTCCAATGACTTTTCATGGAAATGAATATCGTATAAAGCTGTTGATGACTGATATTGCAGTATCTAATATTAAAACAAATGTAAGTTATTGTGATATAGTAACTCTTAGTGATTCAATGGGGGGAAATGGGGTTAAGTGTGACCTAAACCCATGGACCTGGGCTGCCCTGAAGGTAGCCTGAGGGTCAGTATGTTCCTACACACCAAACCCACATCTGTGGATATGCCGACATGCTACAGTGGTGGCTTAGGGATTGGTTGGACATTTCTAGATTGTACCCAAAACTTGCCGTGTGGTTGACTGCTCTATTGACCACTATATCATGCATTTTTATATCCATGACCTAAGTATCACCTAGGAGTTTGTGCACCTGAGTGCCTTCAACAGACCAAAAAAATAACGTATCTAGACTAAGCTGTGGGGTGATGTTCAGGCTGTGGTCTCATGGGTGGTCTCGTTACAAAGGCTTTTTCAGGGGCTCTGATGTGGAGGAACCTCTGGTTGTCTTTTGGGGAGGCGTGTTTGGAAAGGAGAGCAGAGAAGTCCTTAAATCAATGAGGGGAGGCGAAGAGAAAGGAGAACCTACACTCTGTGTTTGTTTTCGACGGCTGCTGTTGGTAGAGTAGATATTTTTCCCACGTAGCTGTTCTTCCAGGTACAGAATGACACAGCGTGATTAATCCCTGGGGCTGCCACTGAACGTGGGCTGTTCCTCTCTCTGAATGTCACTGTATCATTCTGCATCTTGGAAACTCCCATAGGTCCACGTGCGTGGGGAGATATGATTGTCACATGGGCTCTTCCCCTCCCATAAACACTGACTTCTTTAGGAAGGAAGTTGGCAAGTTGGCTCATGCAGAGCTGAGCTGAATCACTTGTGAGGGAGTAGGGCATGACTTGACAAAAACAGACATCTACCTACTTTAACGAACTCTCCACTGAGCTTATCTGTGGGCATATAATATGCAGGACAACTTGGCTACCAAAAGCCAAAGTCTTATTTATGGATATTCAAGGATTCAATGGATTCAAAAGCTTTACTGTCACTTTCAAGTACAAGTACAATGAAATACTTGTTTGCATACAACCCTTAAAATAGTGAACAATAACATACATGTGCATAATATATACAATATACAAGCAATAAACATATATGCATGCACACACAGACAATATACAATAGCACACAAGTTTGAAAACAAGGTGACATGAAATAAATACAAAGTGTGATAAATTAAAAGGTTGAATGAAGTTTCACATTTGTTTCAACCAATTTTTGTTGAGGAGTGTGTTATGTGTAAGCAGAGTTGAGTAATTTAGGTCCAGAGAGAGTCCAGACCGGGATTTTGTTTCAACCAACCAGTACAGTACTCTGTGACTTTGACTCTTTATGCTCAACTGGTTGGTTGAAACAAAATCTTAGTCTGGACTTTTACTCTCTGGACCTGAATTACCCAATGCTGTGTGTGAGTATATGAGAGAGACATGGACACAGTGCATTGTGGGAGAATGTATGAGAGGGGTGTGCAGCCACAGAGCCGGGTGTTATGCTGACTGTGGTTGGGAGGGATGTGTCTGAATGTGCAGTGTGTGGTGTGCCGGAGAGATGTGTGTAAAACTAGCTTGATCGGTTTCTTCCTTAAAGTATAAATAGCCTGTTGACCACAGAAATTGGCAGAGCGGAAAGTAGAAGGAGTGGAGGGATTTCTCAGAATGTGTTCCTACACCTCACAGTGGAACTACTCCTCTTAAGGGAGAATTCATTCATTCCATGTAAAAAATGTGGGAGGTATATGTTTATATAAGGGCCAGGGTAACAACCTCGTCAGGGTGATCCTGGCACGACAGGGTATGTGTGAGAATCAGATTTTATATACATTTATATATAATCACATGGGAAAATTGCATGTGAGCAAAAGGTACTTGTTCAAAGTTATTACCTTTGAATGTGTTAATTAAAAGCCAAAGACACCAAAGAAAGACTGATTTGTGTGTAACAAAATTTAAATGCCTGTTAAATGCCATATCTGTTTAACTAATGAAAAGCATTTGGGTCATTCTTATGTACTGAATTTCTCATAAAGCCAGCTAATTATACTGATGTGGCAAGCAACCAGAACCAAGTATAATGAATTGTTGATCTAATCATGCAGGTATTATCGGAAGTATGGTGACCCCTTGTGGCTCACTCAGAAATTACAGAAAATCCTTGATACTGTGTTGGTTATGTAACACTGCTTATTAATGCCCTGTTTAATATTCATTTTAT